TGTATATATGTATATATATGATCACAAAACTGAAACTGGCAGAGCACGCTGAGTCAAATGAAAACACCGTCAGCACCACCTACTGGAATCTGTGAGTGGATGCATACATGGGAGCTAGTATGTTTAATTATGACCCATCCACAATAAATTCAAACGTGTGTTTGCAGTTTTTGTTTAAATGACTGAAGATTGATGTCATGTCATGACTGGCAGAAGAATCTTTGAAATAAATCAGTCTAGATTCCAGATTAAAACGAGTCTGTGTAAACATAATTTTTGCAGATTCACATAAAAAGATTCACCCAAACTGTTTAAATACCAGATTTATTTTGACTGAAGCGCCAAAGAGTGCCTGATTAATGACTGCAATATGAAACTCATCAAATTCCTCCATTAAACAATAACTGAGCTAATGTAGGTCAATAAAATGAGACCAGGAGGCACAAACTCATAAAACAGAATCTTATTATTCATATTATATTGGCTTGTTGTTGCATTTTCTTTTAGTTTGTTCTCAGAAAAAAAATATCCTTTAAAGGACTTCTTTGGATTTATGAACCCGTTTAATGTGAGATTCCTTGATCTCTGTAGAGCTGAGAGGTGGAGCGTGCAGGCTGTGAGAAAAATGCAGCTGTTGTCGCTCTGGCGGCACAAACCAAGCAGCAGGAGGAGAGACGGAGCTGCTGCAGGCCTCGGCGTTAACGGGAGGTGTGGCGCTGGAAGCGATGGCTCGTTCTGCTTAGGCCTGTTGTGATAAACAATAAATCAATTAATCGCATGATAAATGAAAATTATCAACCTCATTTTCATTTATTGGCTTTATCGTTTCTTGGTGTCTCTCTCTTTCTATTGAAGACACTGGATGACAAAAAGCTCAACTCTGGTGCTCTTCACTGAAAAAAAGATACTACAGTCAAAACGAATCAACATTTCTTTAAAAATTTGACAGTTACTATCCATCCATCCATTATTTTTACCCGCTTCTTCCATTTTTGGGTCACGGGGGTCGCCGGTGCCCATGTCCAGCAATCACTGTGCGAGGGGCGGGGTACACCCTGGATGGGTCGCAAGTCCATCACAGGTTGACAATTACTAATTATTGTTAAATTTCAAACAATATTATCATTTATCACAATAATTTCTGAGACAATTAATCGCCCAGCAAAATTTGTTATCGTGACAGGCCTATTTCTGCTCACCTCCAGCACGTTCAGTGAAGCAGGACAGCTGTGAAACCCACACAGGAACGTATCTGCTTCTGCAGCGGCAGCTGAGGAGCATGTCCCTCCATGCCTCTAATCAGCGCTCGCAGGCCGAGCAGCCATTCCCCTCTCCTAGCTTTCAAAGTGGATTTAATTTCCTGCTCTGGATTTCAAAGCTTTTACATAAACAGCTCCCTCCTTTCTTTAATTTCATTTCCAAGCCCTTGACATAATCTCTAATTCAAACAGCGGCGACTTGTCACGGGGAGTTTGTTAAAACGCTCTCCACTCCGGAGGAGAGATGAGATGTATTTAACTCCTCCTCTGAGGAGGAGAAGAAGTGTTCTAGTTGACTTGATGCTGCCATCTTGTCGTGGTTTAAGGTTTGAGCCGATGTGGAGGAGATTCAGACATTTATCACTTTCTTCTCTTTTTTTTTTTTGCAGTTGAGAACGTCGCTCATTGTGAGTTTGCTTTCCTGCGGGACCTCCTCATCAGGTGGGAATTTGTGCTACATTTAAGTTATTCCATGGTGTATGATGAATAAAACATTTTATTGACCAAGTCTTCATTTTGAGTTGGCGCTGAAATTAATTTTGAGCATCTTCGAATCGATTCAGTTCTCCTTCCTTCCAAAAATCAGTAGAAATTCCTTCAGTTGTTCTGCGTTCCCTCCGAGGGTTTTAGCACAAGCCTTTCAGCTGGAGAAGCTTTTTCCTGCTTTATGAGGGAAAAGACGTGTCCTGACCCAGCTGTGCTCTCAAACTACAAACAGAAAGCAAAAAAAAAAATTCTTATCATCATTTTAAACAAAGTAAATGTTACTCAATTTGAGATTTTTAACAAGTAGAACTTTATTTGGAAAATTCTAGTTGAGTTGAAAGTCACACCACAGCACTAAAATAGGACATTTTAATGACCCTGGTTTCACTGTTGTTGTTGTTGTTGGGTTTGCTCAGTCCTCACGTTGTAGCTGGCTGCAAACTATGAAATGGATTTCCTGAATGTGAGGCAGGTCTTATTACTCTGGGTTCATGAGACACACTTCAGTTCAGGAAATCCATTCCATAGTGTGAAGCCAACATGCATCATGGATCGGAAATATCGGCAGGTTGGATTGGAAAAATCTGATACGTAAATCATGCTGGTATTGGAGCCCAATACCAATACTGGATTGGATCAGCCCCATCCCTAATTATTATAGATTATTATAACTCATTATTATAGAAAATATAATCTCATCAGTGTTGTTATTCTTGGCCTCTTGGATCCATAGAAAGTTTGTTGTCAATTATCTTAAGTTTTATTTTGACAGCTTCTGTATATATTATAAAAAGGTAGTGAAGTATGTGTGTGTATATTAAATTTCATTTTTAATTTTCCCATTATTTGAGGGGAATATATATATATATATATATATATAATTTATTTCCCCCCCCCCCCAAATACCGTATTTTCCACAGTACACATTACACCGCACTATAAGTCGCATCAGTTCAAATAAGTAATAAAGTGGAAAATTCCATAAATATGTAGTTTCGCCGTATACGTCACATCTATTATGCGTCACTGCTGGCGCATCGCGTTTGTTATGCGTCACTGCTGACAACCCGGAAATGTGGGCAGGTGTTGTGCCAAAATCAATGGGCTGCCAATTGACGGCCGCAGGAACGTGCACGGGAGGACTTTAACAAGACTTTAACAAGATTAACACCTCAAAACAATTGTTTGTTTGCTCAAAATTATAGTAAAGGTGTGTCTCTGTCTAACTTTTGCTAAATAAATTAACTTTGACGGTCAAATCAGCTGCATTTCGCCAGGGCTGTGCAGCGAAATTTAGCTGATTTGGTTGCTCCAGGCAGACAATGGTGGCAGACTACAGCAAGCCAATTGTGTCATTAATAGCCACTTTTACATATTGCATAACAAAACTGTATGTCATACTACTTGACTGCCATCTAGTGGCTGAAAATGGTAGTGTTCAATCTTTTTCAGTCAGAATGAATGAAAACGGTCATATCTCAGCCAAAAATGGTTTTAGAAATATGGGAAAAAATCCATAAATATGTTGCTTTGGCTTATAAGTTGCAGGGCATGCAAATTATACAAAAAAATAAATAAAACACGACTTATGCAATAAAAAATACAGTAAGACTTATCAGCGAGTTTTATTTCTCCCACCAAAGACCAAAAAAACAGTCCTTCATGCTTTCATGACCTCTTGCTCGTGACCAGCATGGTGGTCTGAGTATTCTTGTGACGTGTAAACAAGTGTGTGTTAAGGGCCAGACATATCGTCTTACATTAAAGCCCAACAGTCAACAAGTGGTCACGTGGTTGCAGGACGTTTGTTTTTGCACAAACCTTTCATAGTCCCCGAGATGCAGACGTAGAGCTCCTGGAAAACTCCTCTCGCTGCAGTATAGTATACATCTCCACTTCATCCCTGCGACTGCCGTTTGGCTACCAGTCTGTCATAAAGCAAGCGCCCCACTTTTTGAACAGACAGACTCCTCCATATTCAGTGTCTGCACGATCTCCAGCCAGGAGTTTTTGTCTCTTTGACTAAGTGTGTTTGAAGAGTGATACAGCTGAATTTCTGAGTGCATTTCCGCATTGACAAACACGCCCACAAACTTCTGACCAATCACACAATACTTGGTGCGTACGCCTGCGAGAAAAAATTTGTACCTGACCTTGTATCAAGAAGGGGCAGAGCTACTCTGAGAACAAAATGACGTGATTTTTGTCACGCAACTACGTCCATGAGATCAGATTTCACCGCTTTTGATGGAGTATGCAGGGCCCTTTCGTCTTAGAATCAAGACTGACCGTGGCCTCATGCCCAAACCACGACTTTATCATGCCCACAGTTGAGTTGTGCTAATGTGGCCTGATCTTTTGCGTGTACCTGTGTGTTGATGCAGTCTGAAGTCCCGGAGGTGTACTCAAAGAAAAACAGTTTTGAGTACTAAGCACGCAGCAGCGTCATTATTGCCTTTGTATTTAAGGAGATTTTCCACAAATGCAGCGATTTATCCCTAACAGGTCCTGCAGGTGAGGAGAGCACCGCAGTGTTTAATGTGAAGGAGCCACAACTTCACAGCAGTTTGGTCCACTTCAGGATTCTATTTTGTCTTATGTGAAAAAACTACATCAAGTTGCAAATACGTGAACTTTGACCAATATCTTGTAATAACTAAACTGCAGTTAAGTGATCTTTTTATTTGTACGTCTTTCAAAACGCTTTATTAATGCACCCGTCGAGAGACGGATTTATTTTGGCATCATCTTCATACATTCAAAACCTTTTTTTCGTCCCTCCCATAACTTCTGATCCATTCAAGATAATTTAATGAAACTTGATACAAATTTGTAACTCCAATACACGAGGAGGTGCTGTTAATCTTTTAATTTCCCAAGTTTCAAGGTCACAAATCAAGGTCAAATGCTATACAAGGACTTGTCTCTTCTGGACTGTTGCTTTAGTTTGCTGTATTGCTGTATAATAGTTTGTCAGCAGGCGTATACAGTGCCAAATGTGGTACTTTTTTATTATTTTGTGATCATTCTGTTTAGATATTTCTTTTTTTACTTTTTGTTTGTACCATTTCTGAAAAATGTTGCAAAAGCACTAACCTCCAAGGGTCTTCCTTCTTCTCTCATTGCAGGACGCACATGCAGAACATCAAAGACATCACAGGCAGCATCCACTACGAGACTTATCGCGTCCGCCGGTTAAACGAGTCCAACGCTCATCTCATGTCTCAGCCGTCTGACCACCTGACTGCGCAACCGAAGGCCAATGGTCAGCTGGAGGTGCAGCCTGGAGCCCCACAGGCCAACGGAATGGCTCCTCAGCACGAAGCCCTGTCCCACGAGATGTAAAGGGTGGCATCGGCTTCTGGTATCAGGACACAGACGGGCATAAACACATACACAGACGTGAACCAGCTCACTCCTCGTGGTGATGATCCTTTCAAATAGATTGGTGGACCTCCAATGTCAGATACACAAAATTTTCTGACCGTTATTCTCATCATGTCAGTTCTGATCAAAAATAGTTTCTTATTGTGATCAATATAACAAAAGTTGTCAGATTTTTTAAGATTATTCTTGATTGGATACCTACCAAACAAACAGCTTCCTGTACACAGAACATTTAACCAATAACGAATGATATCAAATGAAGCAATATTAATTTCATGTCAGCTGTCTGTTTGTTTTGTGCTGTGGTGTATAGTGTGTATAGTTACCATGGTTACAGTAGGGACATTTAGAGATATAGAAATTTATGGTGTTCAAGATAAGACGTCGTGGACACCTCCGCACTGTGAAACGAAAAAGAATGCAGCGCTGATGTGGAGCAGTTTGCAAAAAAAAAAAAGAGCCCTCTTGTCATTCTTTCCATTGTTACGATGTTTTAACAAACTTTTTTTGTGAAATCTTACCGTCTCATTCTAGATATTGCCAATCGTGTTGTGTTTCATCTTACATTGCTCATTTACGGTTGTAATTTTATTGCTTTACGTTAATGTTCTAATATTGTGTAACATGGGGGTGCAGTTTTGTCCATTTTTCTGACTGTAAATCAAATTAAAAAACTTTTGTTCATTAAAAAAAAGCACATACATTATAAAGTGTTTACTCCTGAGTAGGTATTATGTGATGTTTAATGTAATCCATTTGATTCCACTTTGATTCCTCCGCTTGGCTTCCTGATATTTGTCTTAAACAGTGATGAAAAATGTATGTCGAGATTTTTTTCTGTTCATTTTCACTGCATGTTCCCTACATTTGAGATGGCACTGTGTCTAGCATCAAACACTTTATTAATCCTGCAACACATGAATAATATGACATCATTGTACTGCAGATGTTTGTGTTATGGCTAAGCATTGATTTGTGTCTAAAAACTTCAAACAACTGTCCATGAAATAAGGCATTTTAGCATCTAAAAAGTTCCTATTTTTGATATCACAAAAACTCAAGGGATGTTTTATAGAATAAATCTATTTATACCATTCTGAATTTCAAGTAAGAAGTTGAGTTTAACCAAAACTCTTTTCTTAACAAAATATAAAAAATAATGTCTAGATGAAGTGACTGAATGAAACTTGGTTTACTGTTGTATAGTTCTTGTGTCATTACCGGTATGTCTTTGTAGACTACGATTTGGTATCTTTACTATGCTATCTCAATGAATAAAGATTGATATTTTTATTGTTTGAAGTTGATTGTCTTGATTATGTGTACAAATTCTTTAATTTTGGTGTGTGGCTAGGTGCAGGAAGGTACTTAAAGAAAAATGTGTTGCCACGTCAAAATCCAACATGGCTGCCACAACAAGTATATAGTACAGGTGCTGGCCATAAAATTAGAAAATCAAGAAAAGGTTTATTTATTTCAGTAATTCCATTCAAAAAGTGAAACTTGTATATTATAATTATTCATTACACACAAATGTTTATTTTAATGTTGATTATAACTGACAACTAAAGAAAACCCCAAATTCAGCAAGTCAGAAAATCAGAATATTACGTAAGACCAATAAAAAAAATTATATTTTTAGAAATGTTGGCCAACTGAAAAGTATGAACATGAAAAATATGAGCATGTTCTGCCCTCAATACTTAGTTGTTGCTCCTTTTGCCTGGATTACTGCAGCAATGCGGCGCGGCATGGAGTTGATCAGTCTGTGGCACTGTTCAGGTGTTCTGAGAGCCCAGGTTGCTCTGTTAGTGGCCTCCAGCTCTTCTGAATTGTTGGGTCTGGTGTATCTCATTTTCCTCTTCACAGTAACTCAGATTTTCTATGGGGTTAAGGTCAGGTGAGTTTGCTGGCCAAATGAGAACAGGGATACCATGGTCCTTAAACCAGGTATCTGGCACTGTGTGCAGGTGACAAGTCCTGTTTGAAAATGAAATTGCATCTCCATAAAGTTGGTCAGCAGCAGGAAGCATGAAGTGCTCTAAAACTTCCTGGTAGATGGCTGCATTGACCTTGGACCTAAGAAAACACAGTGGACCAACACCAGCAGATGATGTGGCACCACAAACCATCACTGACTGTGGAAACTTGACACTGGACCTCAAGCAACGTGGATTATGTGCCTCTCCTCTCTTCCTCCAGACTCTGGGACCTTGATCTCCAAAGGAAATGCAAAATTTACTTTCATCAGAGAACGTATAACTTTGGACCACTTGGCAGCAGTCCAGTCCTTTCCATCTTTAGCCCAGATGAGACGCTTCTGCTGCTGTCTCTTGTTCAAGAGTGGCTTGACAAGGAATGTGACAGCTGAACCCCTTGTCTTGCATTTGTCTGAGCGTGGTGGTTCTCGAAGCACTGACTCCAGCTGCAGTCCACTCTTTGTGAATCTCCCCCACATTTTGGAATGGGTTTTGTTTAATCCTCTCCAGGGTGTGATTATCCCTATTGCATGTACATTTTTTTTCTACCACATCGTTTCCTTCCCTTCGCCTCTCTATTAATGTGCTTGAACACAGAGCTCTATGAACAGCCAGCCTCTTGACCTTTTGTGTCTTGCTTGCCCTTCTTGTGCAAGGTGTCAGTGATCGTCTTTTGGACAACTGTCAAGTCAGCAGTCTTGTGATCTGATATGGAAGTCGATACGTAGTGTAGCTCATTTACGCATGCGCTAAAAGGAATACTTCCGGGTCGCACGGATTGCCTTTGAATATGCTAGATAAAGAAAAATATATTAGTATAATTCTGTTTATGAGTAAGAACTGTCTTTACTTAGAAAAGTACATGTTCTGTCTCCGCCGATTTTCATGTTTCTTATTTACACCACTCATATTTCCGTTAAGGCAGCACGGTGGCGCAACTGGTAGAGCTGCTGCCTCTCAGCAAGCAGGTCCTTGGTTCAAACCCCGGTCCAGGGGCCTTTCTGGGTGGAGTTTGCATGTTCTCTCCGTGCATGCGTGGGTTTTCTCCGGGTGCTCTGGTTTCCTCCCAAAGACCAAAAACATGCATGTTAGGCTGATTGGTAACTCTAAATTGTCCCTAGGTGTGAGTGAGAGAGTGAATGGTTGTTTGTCTCGTTTGTCTCTATGTGGCCCTGTGATGGACTTGCAACCCGTCCAGGGTGTACCCCACCCCTCGCACAGTGACTGCTGGACATGGGCACCGGCGACCCCCGTGACCCAAAATGGAACAAACGGGTAAAGATGATGGATGGATGGATGGATGGATGGATGGGTAAAGATAATGGATGGATGGATGGACTGCAATCCGTGCGACCCGGAAGTACACTATGGATCGTGCTTCCGTAATATATTGGGGAATGACAAGTCTTCCCCATGATTGTGTAGCCTACAGAACTAGACTGAGACCATTTAAAGGCCTTTGCAGATGTTTTGAGATCATTAGTTGATTAGAGTGTGGCACCAGGTGTCTCCAGTATTAAATCTTTTCACAATATTCTAATTTTCTGAGATACTGAATTTTGGGTTTTCATTAATTGTCAGTTATAATCATCAACATTAAAAGGAATAAACATTTGAAATATATCAGTCTGTGTGTAATGAATGAATATACAAGTTTCATTTTTTGAATGGAATTAATTAAATAAACAACTTTTTCATGATATTCTAATTTTATGACCAGCACCAAAGTCCATGCTCAATTATCCAGGTATACAATCCAACAATTTTCAGTCAGGTCTTCTGGACAGTTTCTTTTTTGTTGTTGTGCTGAAACGTTTCATAACCAGGTATACAACTGAAAATTGTTGGTTTTGAACCAGTTTGACATGACTGTCGATGAGGGAGAGGGCTGGCACTGGAGGAGGGGGCATGCCAAAGAGACTCTTAGGTCTTAGGTCTGAGCTGAGTACAGCACCTCGGACTGAAGAAGTCTCTCGGATGAGAGACGAAACGTTTCTACATTTTTTTTGCTTTGTTTTTTTTTTTTGGAGACTCTTAGGTCGTTTTCACACCAGATAGTCCAGTAGACTCGGTTCGGTTCAGGACCAGTATTCATGAGCTTTTGTTTACATTTGAGCTGGTGCGGTTGCATTCACACTGCACTGTGCAGTCGAGCCAACCTGTTGAACCAACCTATTACCCCGCTCGCCTGTGGGGGCGCTGCACCAAGAACTACTGAAAGAAACGACAAAAAAAACCTCTGAAGACACGTCCTCTTCTTCTTCTTCTGTAAATAAAAACAAAAACATAGTGGCATCAAGTTTTAGCAGTTTTAGGAGTTATATTTTGTCATTTTTCAAAAATGGACTTAGCATGAGCAGAAGATGAGACAGAAGACCATGGAGAATATTGTTTTTCCACACAAGGCAGCTGACGGCTCCATATAAGGTCAGAGAAATGGGTGTTTGTTTACCCTGTGGAGCGGGTCCGGTCTGTTTACATTCACACTGTACTCGAACCGCGCTGGAGTTCGCTTCTACCGAACCGAGACCTAGGTTTTAGCCCGGGCCAGAGTTCGCCTTTTTGTTCCGTGACAGAGTTCGATGGTGCGTTCACACCTCCCTAAACGAACCGGACTTTCAAGGAAAACGAGCTAGAGTTTGATTAAAGCGGACTAAACAGGGCTAGTGTGAATGCACCCTTAGCACCATCGTAAGCAGTGTTGCCAGATTTGGCGGTTTACCACCAATTGGGCGGTTTTCATTCTGATTTTGCGGGTAAAAATTGCTTTGGGTGGGTGGCAATAATTGGGGTGAATTTGGAGTCAGATCTGCGGTTTTTGAGTTAACCTATTAAACACATTTCAAACATCATTATTTCATAGCAAAGCTCCCCTGACCTTTCTCCATCACTGATTGGCTATTGTTATCTGCCAGGGCGTTCACAACAGAGTACTGGTGGACACCTCGTTGAATCGGCTGACCCATTGCAGTGGTACGTCGGAATGGCCGCCATATTGGATGTGGCAGAACTACTGGTCAACTGATATAAGGAAATGGACTGAACTTCATTGTTCTACAAGTGTTTAATGTAAATGCCTGTCAGTCACACAT